GAATAGTATGGTTGAGTGAGAAAGTAAATCCTGGTATATATAGAGCTATTACTGCTAAACAAGTTGGTGAATGAACAGTCGACCAGAAATCTTGCAAGAAATCCAGATTTCAAAAGTGGGATTTTTCGAGAGGAAAGACGAAGATTATGGTTGAGTGAGAAAGTAAATCCTGGTATATATAGCGCTATTACTGCTAAACAAATCGGTGAATGAATACTCGACCAGAAATCTTGCAAGAAATCCAGATTTCAAAAGTGGGATTTTTCGAGAGGAATGACGAAGAGTATGGTTGAGTGGAAAAGTAAATCCTGGTATATATAGAGCTATTACTGCTAAACAAATCGGTGAGTGAATACTCGACCCGAAATCTTACAAGAAATCCAGATTTCGAAATCAGAATTTTTCGTGAACAGCATGCCTGTTGTTAACTAGGGAATCATGATGCGGATTTTTTGTGGTTACTTTAGACATATATAATGGTAATGGAAACAAAGAAAACGAGCTTTCAATAATTGTGCAACCAAAGAAGAATTTTTGACAACAAAATACTTGCGACATATGCTTCTTTTACAGAATTACATGTCAATTGATTTCTGCGAATACACTTTCAGATTTATGAAATTTCGAAGATGTGGCACCAAACACGACTTACAGCCGTCATCCACTAGCAAATATTGTAATGTGCAGACATCTGTCGTTTGTTTTATATACATTTCATTTCTTTCTAGATGAAAGAATATGTTTTATATATAATATTAAATTAATTTAATTATAGTGAAGCATCTTTGCGATCGTTAATTATAGATCTTCACCCTCAAGCGTCTCGTCAATAAATGATGGCTCTCTTGAAATATCCCTCGATATCATCTCCTATTTTCTATTAAATCGTCATTACGTTGAAATCGGAAGCAGTAGGTAAACAAAATGTTTTATTTTTAGTTCCAATTTATTCGTAATCAGGTAGGGATTTACGCATAATTCAAACAAAATGTCTTATAACTGTATCAATTCTTCCACTAACGAGAAATAATACAATTTCAGATGATAGTAAAGTTTTTGTTTTTATTTCAGATTGTTTGTTTATTTAGTTTTTTTTCCCTCCCTGCAATGGCTCGAAAAAAATCATGTAATACAAATGCAACGCAAGAAACAGAAAATGTGAATAAGAAAAGTAAGTTTCATATTTTTCGTCTCTTTTGACAATACGATATCTAATTTTAGATTACGTACAAAACAAAAATTTTCCAAGGAAAATTCCAAATAATTCGAACACAATTAGTAGTTTTCTTTTAGTTGGTACACCACAGGAAGAAGGAAAAACTACAAATGATGAAAATATTCATTCATTGATACAAGAAGCTGATTCGAAAGAAAAAGAAATGGACAAATTGATCTTTTGTGATATTTCAAATAAAAACGATGAACTTGATGTAAGTCCTGAACATGCAAATACAGTTATATATGATTTAACAAGTATGATTTCATTTATTTTCTAACGATTTATGATTCATTTATGTGTTCAGGTCCTCGAGTTATTGTTGGTCAAAAACGACATATTGAAGAATCATCTGATTCAGTTGTTGAAGGAAACAATACCGATGAATTAATTCGATTAAAAAAAAAATGTTTAGAGATCGAAAAAAGGGTTGAAGTTCTTGAAATGACATGGATGCGTAAGGATATAAACTGTAATTGCATTACTTTTATTGACGTCTTTCTTTTTTTATTTAGCATGTCCAGAGCATCTGGACACGGTTCAAAATATCTTTAATGGCATTATAGAAGATATTAATAATGATCGTGTTGTTATGAACAATAACAACAAAATGTCAGATTCAAATAATGGATTAAATATTGATTCAGAAATTTTATTTGCATTAAAAAAAGATAGTTCAACTGCTACTGCTCGTAGCATATTGAAATATTTGTATCCACATCCACCAGTTAACTTTAAATTATTCGATGTTGATTCAGCACTTGTTGCTGATATTGTTCGTAAGTGCAGTTTTTTTTATTTTCTTAATTTATTTGTATTTGTTATATAGGTTATTCAAAAGAATGTCATCCTGATGATGCATCAACAACAGCTCGAATTCGTCATGCTATGTCCAATTATTTCGCATTAATTACGTATAGAAAAAAACGGAAATCGATTATTTCGAATACAACTATTCAGAATCAATAACGACCATTTCGTCGAGGTGAAGGAGAAGAAAAACTCTCAATATAGCTCTTTTTCATTGATTTATTAAAATGTTTAACTTTTTTTTTTATATTTCGGATTTTTTTGTTTCACTTTTTTCTTCTCTGTATTGAAAATCCTTTTCAGAAGCACTATTGTGATATACATCGTTCTTCTAACTATTTTAAAATTCTTTTTTTTTCGTTATATCATTCTGGAAGTTTTGCTTTTGTTTTTTATTGATGGTCCATTGTTTACTTAGTTTTCATTCACTTTTTTTGCATTTAAACATGTGATATACTTTTTGATGAAAAGGTACGTTTTTTATACGAACCAATCATGCTCTTCAACAAAATACTGATTTAACATATTGAAATAAAACTTCTGCTATTGATCCACTATGATTCAACTTAGTAATCGTGTTATATTTAATTTAATAGCTTCTAACAAAATTTATCTGAGAAATAATTGTAAACGCAAAAAACAAATAAAAAAAGTAAAATAGACAAAAAAAAACATAAAATTAAGAATGAAGATGAATAAAATAAGATTAGTTTCAGCTGTATTCCTAATTGATGAATAAAAATACTTAATGAAATGATTCTTTATTCGATGATATTTGTCTAGGAATAAAATACTGAATAATGAATTTTAATCTCCTCATTCTTTGAAAGATAAAAGGGTGAGTAAGAACAGTTTCAAAGAATATCCACGAACAATATGATAATTGAAAAGGAACATATAAATCCAATAAAGAGAAGTAGAATAGCTAAATAAACAAGAAAAAAACATATGCTTCACGTCTATTTTATTTATCGTTGATTTGTATTAGAATAAATCGATATAATCAAGATGAATTTTCCGTGGTTTGGGATCGAATATAACGACGAGCAATTCTGTTTAATTCTCTGCGACGTTCTTCAATAAGAAAATCAGATAATTTCCTTCTCAAAATATTTTTATAAAATGCCGAATATTTGCTCGAGTCAAGCTTGAATTTGATGCGAATAGCATCTTGATAAAAAATAAAAAATATTTTCATATTATTGAAACATATATAAAATATAATCATACCATTTACTAATTGAAATTTTTTTTCATCTAAACTTGATCGAGCCAAATAAGATCTTTGTGGAGGAAGAATTTCTGTTTTCAATTCATGCTCGCTAAAGACAATCCGCATGGTTTTGCGGGCAAAATCTCCAATTGATGATGCTACTGTTCCTAATAGATTAATATTCTCGTGTATCTATCGGTAAAAAAAAATCGTTTTTATGTGAAAGGATATTATTTTTACCAATTCTTTATCAAATTGTTCATTAGTTTCATCACGATATTGATCAAGCAACATCTTGTTCTAAGAAAAGAAAAATAGTTCATACAGGTCAAGGCGGAACAAACTGATTTCTAATACCAGAAATCGAAGAAATCAATGGAAGTCACGAGAAATCATAGGAAATCATCAGGAATCAATAGAAATCACTATTATTCAATAACAAACTGCTTCTTGATTTTCTTGATTTCTGATGGTTTCTCGTAATTTCCATTGAAGTCTTCGATTTCTGGTATTAGAAATCAGTTTGCTCCCCTTGATACAGATTAATAAAGAAAAACTAACATATATGGACGATGCTGTTAGATGATCTATTTTCTTAGTTAAACGTGTCATTTTTTGATCGTTTTTATTGTCAATGGAGAGCAATTTGTTTTCCAACGCTGAGAATTTATTTTCAAGGGCGTTGAGAATAGAAACACCTAATATGAATCAAAGATTTTTCATCTAAATTGATGGTAGTAATAATAATTACCGGAATAACTTATTTCAGATTGCGTGTCTAGTTTTCTAGACTGTACATGATTATCATCTACAGAAAAATGTGTAATAATACCAGAATATGTACGGTAAGACTAACCTTTTTTAACAATTCGTTTTCTTTTTTCACTCACATGATCAGCTGTGGATTTTCTTTTATTTGTATTGTTTTTTTTTATCACTTTCACGTATTGATCTGATGAATCGTCATCTTCGTTGTATTGTTCATTTTCTTCTTCATCATCTTCTGCTGAAAAACAGATGTTTATTTGATTAGAAATAAATATAAACCAATAATTTCGTTTAATTATTTACGTGATGATTCAAAATTCAGTACAGCTGGTGAATCATGTGCAAAGTGAGATTGAGTTGTAACTCGATGTTGTGTATCAATCGTCATTGCATCATTCTCTACATCATCATCACCTTTCTCAGAATCGATTTCATCTACAATATCAAATAATTAATGCAAGAGAAAGCTAGAAGAATTTTACTATTATTATCTTGTTGAGATAGACGTGTTCTTCGACTCATTTCCTTCTCGCATTCATCAAAAGAACCTAAGGAAAGAGAATAAAAAGATTGTAATGAATGATTAAATTTTAACAAAATCACCAGTAAGAATAATTTTTCCTTTGAGCTGTTTGTTACGAATTGTAATTGTTGCTGAACCATGATCGTCAACACATTTGATACTGCTTTTAGCCACTATTTGATATGTTTCAGTTTCATTCAAAAACAAAAGATAATATTTTGGAATTATAGCTGATGGTTGTTGTGTTGGCGTATATATCTTGCGAGGAATACGTTTACGTCGACCTTCAATATTTGTGGAGTACATGTTGAAGAAAAAATATCTGAAATAGCGTAAAATATAATATTCGTTTTTGTGTAAGTTTGAATTGTATTTACTTCCAGTTACAGAACTAAAGTTCTAATCCTAAAAAATATCCATGAAATTCTACCTTTTTTAGAGCTAAATGTTCGGATAAACTTGGATTTTCAGTAGATTTAGACAGGAAAACACCTTCAGATATTAAAAGTGCAAATAACCATACTAGATTTAAGATAGATGGACAATGATGAAATGGAATACACCATTTCTTTAATCATGTTCATAGGCTTGAGAAATAGGAGTTACAATGATAAAATCGTCCTTTTCAAATACAACACATATGTTTAATATTTTATGAATTGGTACATAATGAAATGATGATGGTTTTGCTTGAAGTAAATAAAAGTACGTATTGATATATTTTGATAAGGATGAATGGTAAGAAGAAGAAGCAAAGACATCGGAAAATAGATGTTCATTTGGATAATTATTAATAAGCGCCAAAGTAGAATCTTTATATGTAAAAAAAAGTTCAATTGCTCCGAATAGTGTATCACGACGATCATTAGTGTACTTTACGAAATAACTGTTAGTTGATTGTCGTTTTGGATAAGAAAGAGAATGATATGTTTGACTTTTAATTACACAACGATGATAGATAATGATACACGTTGCAATTTGATTGCAATCGCATACACGTTTATGCCACGACAGAAGCTCGTCTATATTATTGATTGATAAGCGTGTTATATCAAAAGCTCCTTCATTACGTTTAACATTATCAACTTCCTGTTGATTGATTATTTTTTGTAAAGCAAAATCAATCTAAAGGTAAAAAAAATACAAATTGTCATGTAGCTTAATAGAATAACTAACATTGAAATAGTGAACCAGCAAATCTCCCCAGTAACGAGTACCATGTTTGTTTTTTGAGAATGCACCAAGCAAACTTTCTTGTGCAAAACAATTTGTATTATTTAAGCTGCCATAATTAACGTATTGAGTCAAATAGTGTATGTGCAAATGAAGGACTAAATTTTCTAGATTATAATAATGTTTACAATGATCTTTATAGTATATTGATAGTAAATCATGAGCTAAAAGACCAGTTTCATGTCCAAATAATTTTGGACCATGAAGCATCTGTTATAAAATTACAAAGAGAAAAGTAATAATTGTATAATGTAAAAGAACTTACACGAATAGCACAAACGAAAAGAGCAATATGAGCAGCTTTATCGACTTGAAGATGTTGATAAAATATAGGTACTAAACCATATAGCAATAGATTTTTTATTTCTGATGCTCTGAAAGAAAATTTATTTATATTACAGTAACTATTTATTCATCACTTGAAACCTGTGAACAGTCAAGACAACAAACGCTAGATAGACATTAACTCATGTAAAAAACATTTCTCGAAAATCAACAAATAATCGATTTTTCATCGATTTTAATTATACGATTTTAATCAAAGATTTAAGCAGAAATAATCAATTTCGTACTGATTTCTGTTTGATTATTTCTGCTTAAATCTTTGATTAAAATCGTATGATTATAATCGATGAAAAATAGATTATTTGGTGATTTTTCAGGAAATTTTTTTTACATGGGACTTCTTGAATATATTTTTTGGATACAACTATTAAGACATTATCTATCAATTTCGAACTGCATACAATATTCATATGCACTTAGATTGGTAGAAATAAAAATGGAAAAAATATCGTTAATACATATTTCATTTTAGAGCAGAGTAGTGTAATAAAATCTAAATAAGTATTCGAACATATAAATATTCAGATTAGTATTAAAACCAAATTTATCAAAATATTTTTAAAATTTTCAATCTTCTGTCTATTTAAAATTTAAAGTACTTAGAAAATATTGTCTAACGAACACTTTTTAAAACTAATATACCATTAGTATTTATAAAAGTATATAATGGAATATCAGGACTTCATTATAAACAACTATGTTTAATTGAAATAAAATAACGTGATGATTCTAATTTTTTTTCTGAAAATGTCTCAATCATACTAATCATAAGAGCAGTATACAAATCGAACGTACTTCATATGTCCCGACTTGATAGGTTTCAATTTCCTATTGAATGTATGTGGAAATTGTTGAAACTTTAATTGATCATCAATTTCTGATCTTTTTTTTGGTACAATACTTTCATAGATTTGTAGAACAACACTCCGAGTGTGTCTCAGCAATGTAATATGCATGTAGTCCATTAAAATCGAATGTGGAAGTGGTATATCAAGTATCTCATGAAAAAATGATAAACCTAAATGACCATTTATATTTTCACCTTTTACTTCAGCTTCTTTTGATTCACTTCTATAGCTGTTAATGCTTCTCATAGTTGGTACTTCTTCATAATGATACTGTCGCTTATTACACATATGAACACCTTCAATTTTACAATACCAGCAGGAGTAATAACCATTGTTACCAATATGATTCAATGCGAGTTTAATAGCTGGACAATCACCGATTAATCCAAGAAAGTAAACAAACCATTGTTCACCACCACGAATTGAGAAACCTAAATTAAAAGGTAAAAGATTAAAGATCTAATGTTCGTTTCAAAATATAATACGTTCCACTGTTTTTTGAATAACTCAAGAACGCAATCAGCTAGAGATCTGCGGTTTTCACCAATCGAAAGAAGAGAGAGGAGGACGTCTTTTTTCCAATATTGTATCAGACGAAATCATTTTAAAACCAGTCATTTCTGCAGAACATCGAAAAAATGGTCTCTCATTCAGATGAAATTTTCACAAAAAGTAAGAAAATTTGCTTAAAAATTAAAAGAAATTCATAGTTTTCTTGCGAGTAAATAGACGATTTTATTTGCTTAACGTTAGGATGCGGTAAGATAATCATTGGAATTATATCCTGAAGTATAGATCCGAAGTTCCTCTATCTAGATCACATGTCAAAAGGAAAATTTCTTCAGAATGCCGGATCGTTTTCATGCATTCTTTTCAATGTTTTAAAGAAATGACTGATTCTAAAAAGATTTTGTCTGATACAATATTGAAGAATAAGACGTCCCTCTGTCTCTTCTTTCGATTGGTGAAAACCGCAGATCTCTAGCTGATTGTGTTCTTGAGTTATTCAAAAAACAGTGGGACGCATTATATTTTGAAACGGACATTAGTACCTTTTTGTTTGTGAAATGTTACGTCATTACAAGTGACGTAGCATTTCACATGTTCCAGCGAATGTTAAAGACAATTAGAAGTATGCTCTTGCTTTCTGTAGATTTATCATAAATACTTTAAACTGTTAGCCGGTAAGGAGTTATTTTTTAACATCATTTTTTTACAAGAAAAACTCGATTGATATGATCTATTTCAGAAACAGACGAAAGCAAATAAATTTGTTTCATATTAAAGTAAAAGGACCTCTGAACATATTGGATAATTAAGTAGATAGAACAAAATATAATTTTCGTACCTTACATGATTATGATCGAATTTCACAAAATCCGCTTCTAAAAAATCTTTGGAAAGAAATCAATCGACTAGTTTTCTTTTTAACAAAGTATTCCCTAGACTCTTTTGTGCAATGAAACTTCGATAGAAGTGAACTAAATTATTTTGGAGTCGCATAAGGTGAATACCTTGAATAGGGTTGATATCTAAATTTTTATTTTGTAGCTAGCACTACGTAATGCTTTACTGATTTACGTACCTGATGACTTTAGTTTATTTAAACTTGGAATACATTCACGTAACCAAATTTTAATAATTGGTTGTCGAGTTCCAACCCACATCGAAAGGATAATCATATTTTGTCTTTGATTACGTAGATGAGGTGGTAATTCTAATATGGAACAAGAGAGAAGCCACAATGTTAATTTTGTTGAGGTATCCAATGGGATACCATCAAGGTGAATTAAAGTGCTAATAAATGGTTGATGAACGGTAGTGTTTAAAAAAGAACGGTAAATCTTCTGAAATGAAATATCGTTATTTATATTATCATATTTTTCACTTAATATCTTTTCACGATATTTAGCTATATCAACAATATGTCGTTCGACTATTCCACTAAATACTATAGCATAATCAATATCATAGATGTTCGCAAATTGTGTTTTTTCATTTGATACACATTTGAAACAGGATGTAGCTGAATATTCAATATCAAATTGACATGATAAACATACTTTTCTTTTTGTAAATAAATTCTCGACTAAACAAACAATAGAGAGAAATCAAAAAGCAGTAAAAAGATATTCAGTATAAAGTTTACGTTGAAGGTTAGCAGTTTTGATATTTAATCAAAAACGATAACTTACCGTTCATATATCTCAAAAGCGAGTTTAGAGATGTTGGTAAATTGTTGGGCTGTGGCAAACCCGAATCGATTAATTTCAACATATTGGTTGAATATGTTTTACATAAGTTTGTTTGTCGAAAAGCACGAAGAACATTTGTGCAAAACTCCTTCGTGGATATGTCAGTGTATGAATGAAGAGGTAAAGAAACTTGTTTATTATTTGATAAAAGAAGTTCATTTATTAAATTAAAATTATCATCTGATTGATCATCATCTAAATCATCGGTTTCTGCATTTCCAATACAATCTGCTGCTGAAATAAGATCAAAATCAATGTCATAATTGCCATGAAATGTATGCATTGTTTCTGATAAACTTAGTATCTCACTACTTGAAACGTCACACTCAGCGAAATTTTTTGCTTTTGGAATAACATAAGATGATAGACCATTCATTAAATTAACAATTGTTTGTTTTCGAGAAAGATTATTTCTTGTTAAACGTCGCTGTTCATTGCGATCTTCAGCAGTCTCCATGGCCAATGAGAGCTCTACGTCCATTTTATCTAAATCAGTAAATGCCATACAGAACAAAAATGGTAGACTCACATACTACCTTTTCTTAATATTTGCGAACAATAACACGTTTAACGAGTACTAGACAAAAAAAGATGAATCTTTTTAAAAATTTTATACAAAGACATTTGAGACCCATACTTTTATACTTTTGAATATGATGGATTAATTATTTTTTTAAGGTTTTCTTATAAAAATATTATCTGATTTTATTTTAATCTTCTAATCCGGAATATTATTGGCAACACCAAATGCAGCATCGAATGATAGATGTCACTTAAGGACAGCAAGTGGAACGTTTCAATCAACCTTATTATACGCTGTTTATATTTAATTAGCGGTAAAACCACCAGGAGAGCGAGAATTTTTCGAAATATATGCTGTACATTCAGTAACAAATTGTCTAATTAACGTGATTGTATATTAAATATTTAGCATTTTTTTTATTAAAATTTTCTGATTGATATTTTCTTCTTGTACAACGTTATTTTTTAACGGAGACAAAAGTTTAGCGCACTAGTTCTAGTATTTATTCGTGATAGACTAACAAAAGAATATTAAAGATAATAAAAAAGATTCCAATCTTATGAGATATAGTGTGTTAACTTAAACAAACAATTATTTAGCCAAGAGTTTAAAACGATATGAATAAAAATAAGTTGTGTAAATGGCATGCCTTTATTGACAATTTTATCGTATCTAGAAAGAAATCTCGTGGACAAAATAGTAACACAAACATGATCTCAAATCAGTTATTCTGATTATCTTCATTATTAGCTGCTTCTTCTACCCATATAAATAATTTTGACGAAAAATCAGATTAAAATCGATTATTTGATTGAAAATCGAATATTCATCGATTTAATCTTAGCAATCGATTAAAATAGATTAAAAATAATTAAAATCAAATGAAATCTATCGTTAAGGTTGAGAAATCATATTAAAATAAAATAAAAATAATGCCATTATAATTGATTAAAATTCGATTTTTAATCCGATAATCGATTTTAATCTGATTTTTCGTCAAAACTTTTTTACATGCGTGGCGCATGGAACGACTCGGATTCCTTGTTTCTATTCGATTGTAGTTCAGTGCATGTACGTGCAGTTCATCCTACAAATTCATCGTCAAATAGGAGAATTTCTTCAATAAGATCTTCAGTAAAATCATGGCCAGCTGATGTGCGTTGAACAAGGCAAAATCCACTTTTACAACCTCTACCAGTTTATTCAAGAGACAACGCTAATAGAACATCTCAGTTCGAATCTTACACAAATCCGCCTCGATTGGAAGACTCAGCAGAACAAGATTCAGCATTTTGTTAATGCAGTCGTCATTTTCACACTTCATACAAAATCGTAGAATAATCTTCATGTAGACAGAAAATTTTTTCAAACAAAATTGGAAAGTACCGACTTGTAATTTGTTGATTTATTCATAAAAAATCTAAAGAATGTATATGTGAAGAGAATTTTCCAAAACAAAGGATGGGGTCGATCTCAAAAGCTTTTATGAAAATTTGTACTATTTTCGACAAATTTGAAAAAAGTGCTAGAAAGCTCAGCTCTCCTAGTAGCGAAGTTCTGATTTCGCCACTATATTTGATGAAAGTAGTTCGTCATCGTTAACGACTGTTTACGGACACACACGATAAAAAACGATTAGCGTAGATCACACCGTTTACAGCTGGCGTTTTCGATATCTTACGATGTTATTCGAGTGTCGTTTACAGTCGCCGTATTATTACGGTAGTCTTAAACGGCGAATATTTACGGTCATTGTTTACGATGAGCGTAATGCACCGCAAAACATCGTATATGATTGCCGTAAACGGTCATTGTAAACGGCTGTCGTTTGCGATATCTTACGATATTATCCGAGCGTCGTTTACAGTCGCCGTATGATTACGATAGTCGTAAACGGCGAACGTTTACGGTCATTGTTTACGATGAGCGTAATATACCGTAAAACGTCGTATATGACTGCCGTAAACGGTCACTGTAAACAGCTG